AACAGCTGAAAGAAATGAATACAGGTTTGGAAGAACTTGAGGGTGAGTAAATGGTGACAGAATTTTCATTTTTGGATGAACTATCCCTTTAAAATGGCAGGTCATAAACTCAGTTGGAATGGCCAGGTGAGTGGGACACTGTCAGTACAACGGACAGAATAGAAAACATTGTAGTGTTTTATTAGCAATGTTTGGTCAAAGACCTTCAGGTATTTTTTATTAAAAAAAAAAAGCCTGGAAAATGTCAGAAACATTGTGAACATGGTTTAATATAGAAATTTTACTTGTGGTGGATGTCCTGTTGGCTTAGTCTCTTTTGTTTCAGTGCTATTTTCGCTCTCTGGGACAGTGAAGTTGTGCTTGATATTTTGGGCGTGGGCTTTCAGCAATCCTGTTTTCCACTGTGGTTGCCATGAAGATGGTCCCAGCGATCTGATGAGTTTGCATCTTACACAAACACATGAGATGATTGAGGCTGCTCTCCGTGGTGAAATGACATATTACAGTTGGGCAGAGAAGGGCAGAATCAGCAACCATACATGCCAGTCCGGTCAGGGGTCTTTAAATAACTCCTGTAGGAGTTACTCACACACACATGGAGTATCTTTTTAGCACATGCTTTCAAAGAAAGCCTCTCACGCACTCTATCTCACATTCACACGCTTTTCCAGGCACGCGGTGTGTGATAAGCATGTATCTGTTTGGATAGCTGCACACACACTGTGGGAAACAGCGTGAGGCGGTTTAGTCAAGGCCGTTTCCCAGCATTCTGCTAACAGAGGAGGCACTTTAACCTGGCACAATGCAAATACTCACAAGCATGTAAGCCGTCTGTCTCACAGCACAGGTCAGAGCCTCCTCTATCTGTCTCTCCATCTCTCTGCAGCTTCGCCACAAACATCTGCCTGTTTCATATGATAGCAGTCATATTTCATTACCCACAGAAAAGCTGATGCCACTTCCCACTTTATGGTCCATGACATAATCTTTGATACATGACAGACTATGGAGATGAGGTAAATCAAATGGTTTGCTTGTCTAATAATCGAGCCCAGACTCAATTGCGCTAAACATTCTGTGGGAAAAAAGTTTGCGGTATCGGCTACCATTTGGAATTAGTTTCTTTCACAACAGATGTGAAAGTGTCTCGCGGTCTGTCTGCTCAGTACTCTGGGTTTACTGCTAGTTTCAGTGTTTCAGTGTTTCAGAACTGGAAAGTGTTTCATATCATTTAGAACAATCTCTTTCTTTTTAAGCACTGTCACCATAGTTTCTGCAAGTACTGTAAAATTATAAACTGATGAAAATGTCAACGATGCCTGCCTGTGCAAAACTTAGCGCCACAATGTTAAGGCTGTTTGTAATGTGTTTGCAGGGTGATGTGTAAATTGTGTAAACTCTGTCACATTCTGTATCTTGAATTTATATTGAGTTCTACAATTTCCAGTGCCACAACTAAATCTAATAATCTGAACGCCAATAAAACGTATTCTGATTTTTTTCTTTTTGCTAGGCGCAAAACTCAGTGCTGCAGCGTTAGGGTTGTTAGCGTGTTGCTATGTGGTGGCTAGGGTGCTTTGCTGGGTAAACACTAGTGCTTTGCTGTAGAAACCAGCTAAAACCAGACTGGTTGGGTGGTTTTAGCTGGTTTAAGGGGGAAGTAGCTGATTTTAGCTGGCCTCTCAGCCTGGCCAGCAAAGACCAGCCTGACCAGCTAAAGAAGTTGCCAAAACCCTTCTAAAACCAGCCTGCAGACCAGCTATGACCCGGCTAGAGGACCAGCTAAAACCAGTCAACCAGCTTAGGCTGGTTTTAGCTGCTTTTTTTCAACAGGTCTAGGTGCAAACCTCGGGGTCACTGTGTTAGGGTTGTTAGCGTGTTGCTGTGTGGTTTTCAAGGTGTTTTGCGGGGTGAATACTAGTGCTGTGCTAGGTGCAAAACTCTGTGCCACAGTGTTAGTGGTGTTAGCGTATTGCTTTGTGGTAATTGGGGTATTCTGGGTGATTGCTAGTGCTTTGCTTGGTGTAAAACTCAGGACCACAATTTTAACTTGTCGCTATGTGGTTGCTGGGTGTTTTGCCACATGAATGCTAGTGTTTTGCTAGGTGCAAAACTAGGTTCCATTATGCTAGGGTTATTAGCATGTTGCTACGTGGTTACTGGGATGTTCTAAATGATTTCTATAGGGCATTTCTAGGTGCAAAACTTGGTCCCACAATGCAAGGGTTTTAGCATGTTTTCTCTGAGTTTTGCTGGGTTAATGCTAGTGCTTTGCTAGGTGCAAAACATAGTACCGCAATGTTGGGGATGTTAGAATAGAACTAGTGAGCGCTGAATTAATTCCTGTGTCTCGCCAGAAGATGCCGTCTTTTTGGTGCACTTAGTGTCCGAATTCACTCACTCATTTTCATTCACTCTTTCAAAGGACAATGCAGGGAATAGTGAATGTTCACCTTGTCTTCAGGGAATAGTCTTCTTTTTGCCCTATTTATCATTTGCCAGGTACAAATGTAATTGTTTAAACAATAGCACACCTCCTCTCAACAAGACACACAATTTGAGGTCTCATTCATGTTTATAGCACATGTGGTGTGAGATGAGTTAAGTGCAGAATTTTAATAATAAGGGTTTTTGGAAATTCTGAAAAAAGTATGAGCAGCAGTGATGCCTGCCTGAGCAGAAATCACTAATAAATGCATGGAGTAACTTGTATTTTGGTGGTTACCATGGTAAACAGACATGCAATACTCTGCAATACGGAGCAAAAATGTGGCAATGTTTAATCATGTATTATATTTTTCACATCTATGGCCTAAACAAGCCATTACACATACACATTACACTGCAAAGACACACATTACTATGCGCTTCATACAGCATGTTGGGGGGTTGACAGGAGATCACTAAAGATCACAGTAAAACTTCAAATCTGTTAGATCCCAAGTGTCACAAATACAGCTTCCAGACACTTCTCTCTCCAGGATCAGCTCAGACATGCTGCTCACAGTAGAGAAGACCTTGAACAGGCTTGACTTGTCTGAGTTTAGACCCTGGAGAGACATTGTCAACACACTGTCCTGCAGCCCATAATTGGTGGGGCAATTTATTTGAAGGCTTGATGCTAGAGAGCTGTGGTTGGAATATCATGCTGAAATGAGCCTGTAATATTACACACTTACTAGGTGTACGCTGCAAGGAAATGTGCTGAATGTAAATGAAATGCCTTATAGTTAAAGGGGAAAAGAATGTCATTTGTCAGGTAGTTAATCTGTTTATATCAGCTGTGGATTGTTTTAATTGGCACTGGGAACTAGGTCAACTCCAGATGCAAATATATATAAAAAATAGATTTGTAAATGATTTGTTAACATGTTTGCATATGTTTTTGTGAGACTGCGAGGAGGTGTGATTTTTTTTATTTAAAAAAATAAAATGTGCAATTTCCAAATGGGAACTTTAAAAATCATGATATTTTTTTTGAATACCAATATACATACAGGTGCATCTCAATAAATTAGAATGTCGTGGAAAAGTTCATTTATTTCAGTAATTCAACTAAAATTGTGAAACTCGTGTATTAAATAAATTCAGTGCAGACAGAATTACTGAAATAAATGAACTTTTCCACGACATTCTAATTTATTGAGATGCACCTGTATATACATGCATATATTTAGGATGTAGTGTTATTTCAATGTTATTTATATACTATTACAGTTAAATTTGCTTTTTTATTTATATTTTCAGTTTTCATTTTAATTTTAGTTTATTTTTTGGTAATTTTCTTATGTGCTTTTGTCCTTTTTTAAATAATACTCTTTAGGTTTAGTTCATTTTTATTTCAGTTTTATTATTATTATAATTTTTTTTTCTCCAGTTAGTAATTTTAGTGCTTTTCATCTGATATTTATTTATTTCAGCTTTATTTCAAATAACCAAAATGTTTTTAATAATTTCAGTTTTAGTTAACAATAATAACTCTGGTAGGGCGTTTTGGGTGGTTACCAGGACATTGCTTTGTGTATTTTTTATTTTATTTATTTATGTTTTTTGGCTTATTTTATTAACTGCCAAGGGACAAAACTCCACAAAGTATGAAAAGAAGTAGTAAAAAGTATTTCTTTCTTTTTTTCCCCAATGTCATTCAAACCTCAAAAACAATAGTCTTTATTAGGAGTGATCTTAACATGGCAGTGTGTCATGAAAGACGGATCAGACATGTCCTGTGTTTAGAAGACAGAGGAAGCTGTCCCATCCACTGCTGAGTCGGGTGCAGGGCAGAGGCACCCTGCGAGTATCCCGTCCAGGGGGAAATTGTGAACGGGTCAGCAGTTCCCCTCATCTCTGAGTGCTTGGTTCCGCATGATGTCATACTGTCTGCTGGTGGCCTTGTGGAGGAACTAAACGTCTGATCTTTATTTCTGTTGCAGGACAACAGAACTGGATTTGTTAGGAATTGTATACATGCAGGAAATACTTGTCCCTGTCTATACAGCAGCGTTTCCTGACCACTCAGTGCTGTGATGTCATTACATATCTCGCTCTTGAGTTTTAACCCACTTTTTTTGGCCTAAAAATTAATGGCAAATATGCTTTTGCCAAGCAATGGCAGGTTGGAATGTCACACACTGTAAAAAAAATTTTTTGTGATTTTGTTATTTCAACTTATTTTTTTGTGTAGGCATAACTATATTTCCATAGATTATCCAGACAACAGGAAATTTTAAGTTTCTTTGTCCCTCAACCATGCTAGAAGTTTAATGAACGCGTGCAATTGCTGTTTCAACTCAACTCAAAAATGCAGGTTGAGACAACTGCACAAGACGAAATCAACAATAAATGATGATAAGAATAAGTAAATGTGCATATTTGCACTATGAACTGCTTTCTGACACATTTCAGAGCGTAGTGAAACAATTGTTATAGTGAAATCATCATCCTTTATACCGAAATGTGTAACTAAACTGTAGAGATTCTAATTGTCTTCTTTCTCTTTTCAGGTATATCTCATCAATGTCACATACTCTGACTCCACGTCCCACATCATCTACAGAAGATACAGTAAATTCTTTGACCTTCAGGTAGGCTTGCTTAAGTTTAACAGTTGCAAGTCTCTCTCTCTCTCTGTCTAACTTCTCTTACTTTTATATTATTTTCTCAGGTAATGGGTATTCACCTCAGAACTGAGTTTAATGTCTTTTTAATGTCGGTCTTATGCAAGCCAGGGCTCCCTCTTTCTCACTTTTAAATGTGCCTTATTAGCGTGACACATTAATAATGGTGCATTTTCATTCCCAAAGCAGTAGCAAGTTAGAGGAAATAATAATAATGGAATAATAAGGAGAAGAAAGAATGCGATATGAGTCTAATGCTATTTAATGTAGCATGCGTTAAAAGGCCGGAGCCGAGCGGTTATGCTGAATGACATTTATGGGTGTATTTTACAAATTAAAGTCTAACTCTGCGACAGAGCTCTCAGGATAGCGCTGCCAATAGGAGTATTTGCTTTGGAAGCAGAATGGAGGAAAGACAGCGTTCACACCCAACCCTTCAGGTGCAGCGGGGCCCCTCTGTAAAGTCTGGAAGAAAAAGTTTATATGTTGGCGTGTGAGGACGTGTGTAGGGTTGAGATGACTGTGCACATTTAGTTGCAGTGTAAGCATGTCTCTATGAACATGTCTGTACAGTTGGTACAGTACAAAAAAGTAAAAGGAAAAAGTACCATAACGTCATGTTTTTTGGACATGTACAGTAGTAATGTGTTGTCTTTTTGGATTTACACTACCTTTCAAAATGTGCTCTTATCTGCATTAATATATGATCAAAAATACAATAAAAACCGTAACATTGTGAAACATGTTTTACATTTGAAAAGAACTGTTTTCTATTTGAATATATTTTAAAATATAATTTATTAATGTGATGCAAAGCTGAATTTTCACATGATCCTTCAGAAATTATTCTTATATATATATTTTTCAGGATTCTTTGATGAATAGAAAGTTCAAAAGAACAGAATTTATTTGAAATACATATCTTTTTTGAAACGTCTTTATTTTTTTTACTGTCACTTTTGACTGATTTAATGCATCCTTAAAAAAACTTACTGACTTTATACTTTTCAATGCTAATTTAAATAAATACATCATGGTTATGCCACCTTTTTTTGATAATGTACCATGTTTTTTTGTACATAAACCATAGTAATGCCATATTTTTGGATATGTACAGTGTCAGCACTTTGTCCTTTTGACGAGGTAACAGTCAACCAGTACCAACTTAATTTGAAATACCTGGAATTTTTAGGTAATTTCAAAATTGTGTTCTCCAGGCTTAAAAAAAAAGTCATGGAAATGAATAAAATGATAAAAAAGCTATTGAAATGTCTGACATTTTGATGTTTTGTCAGCTTGAAATTCATCTTAGTGCTTACAATCCATTTGAAATACGTAAATAAATAAAAATAAATCAAATCAAATTTGGTCAAATCAAATGAATATCTGGTCATGGAAATTGATATATGAGTACATTTTTTAGGGCCCCATGTATTTGTGTGTGTACTGAGTTTTTTGTAGTTGTAGTTTGCTCTTCTGTATCCATCTACGGTCTGTTGAGGTGATTAGTCTTCTGTCTCAAAGACTCCAGTGTTTAACACAGGACTAATGGCGGCCATGCTGTGTACTGGGTGAAGTCAAAGCCTCCATTGATAAGCTGAGAGTAACCCAGTCAATCAGTTCCCTCCTCTTGAGTTCCTGCCTCTCCATACAGGAACAATAACAAACATAAGGAAAAGGGATGTGCCTTTTACGAGATTTCAGCAGATGTTTCAGATCATTCTAACAAAGTATATATAATATACTCGGCTGTGCTGACTATGCTTTGTGGTTTTAGTAGTTTTGTAGTTTTAGTAGTTGACTTTGGGTTTAGTAGTTGCTTTGCAAATAGTAGTTGGTTTGTAAATACACTTAGGTTTGGGTTTGTGTGTTTGGAACAGTGATAGCGAGTGCACTACTGTTTGGATTCAGTAAGATTGGGAAAGAAATTAATAGTTTTATTCAGCAAGGATGCATTAAATTGATCAAAAGTGACATTAAAGATTTTTACACGATTACAAAAATAGTTTCAAATAAATGCTGTTCTTTTGAGCTTTCTATTTATTAAAATATTTCACAGTATTACCTTTGAGTGGTAGTGTATATTAAACTAGTGAGAGTGTGAAAAATGTGTTTTAAAGAGGGCTTTTGCATCTATACATGTGAACTTTTACAACAATTTTACACCAATAGTGTATTTGTACTCTAAATGCACATACAATCAATGGTGATGTTGTGAATACTGTTTAACACGTTCAGCACTGTGTTCATCTCAACCACAGCTGACTGGCAGGCTCTGATTTATTCAATTCCCAAAGTTACTCTTAAAATTGTTTCATTACCTACGCGCATCATATTGGTTGTAGCAACAATAACACCAAATGTTGTTGTCTGTCACAGTGGTTAGGAGAATCATGGAGCAGTAAACCATTTGGTAAATGTGCATATGGATGGTTTTGTTTTGTATTAGTACAGTCATCAATCCTTAAGATCCCATTATCGTTCAGTGTTACCACCAGTGCACTGTTGGTTAGCATTGTGCATAGTGTATGAAGCTTAGTTGAACTCCAAGTTAAACAAGTGAACTGTGCTTAAAAGCTTCCCCAACACACTTGACAGCTGGTTAAACACCATTTAACCATTTTGTAACATTCCACAGTTCATTTAAAATAAAATCAGTCATGCTGGCCAAGAAAAAGGCCCTGTGCTAATTTTCTGTTAGCTGAGCCGAGGTCTTTAGTTATCCAAACACACGTGCAGACTCAAATGTACGACGTCTGCAGGTTTGGCCTTAATTGTACCTTGACAAAGGCTATCTGAAAGTCCTTTAATTATCCCTTACAGACATTTACCATGGTAACTATAGTTTACAATGAAATAGCCTACCATGCTTACTGCAGTTGTTAGTGCAATAAAACTGTGGTTAGGCTGGTACAGTATGTGCCTTGCCAGAAAGATTCTGAAAGCCTCATACTCTGTTTAAAAGAGAGGCCACAATTATTTATTATGCTTTTACAGTAGTAATATAACTGCAGGAACTGTGCTAGTTTGACAGGTAACTATGGTAAACGTTTGGAAGGGATAAGCCATCTGACTTATCCTTTATGTTGGTACTGCATTATAAGCACTAACTGTAGTATTTTGGTGGAAATGTTGTCGATTCCCGCTAAATAATCGACTTAATTTTTATTATAGTACTGGCAGATATATAGTTATAGTTCTAAATGTCTCTAAGCTTCTATTTCTTTTATAACAAATACAACTCATTGGTGCCTGGCGACGTTGCTGCAAAATGATATTACACTGCTTCTTGCACATTTTGATAGTTTGATACTTTCAAAGTGAAATGTTTGAAAGCGTGTTCATTTTTATTTGAAACAGCTGCACGTGAATCTGGAAATGTATTATTCCATTTGTTGTTATGTGTATCACAGCAGTTTGGAAATGAATTTCCCGGTGAGTGGCACTTAAAGGTTAATGCTCTATCGCATTTGAAAATAACTTACCACCTAGTGTTAACAAAAGCAAACGTGAGATTAAAAACACATTTGATGAAACAACCATTCCAATTTTAATTGCCTTTACAAGTGTTTGAACTGTTTTAGTATGGCTAGCAGTGCTGTACCAGGTGAGCTACCAAGCAAGTTTACTACATCAGAAAAGCTGTACACATATGGAGAGGGTTATGGGATTCAAACGTGTATTACAAAATCTATTATTTTACAAATCATGCATTATGGTACAATCATTTTGAGACCATAACATAGTATTGTGCAAGAAGCCGTGCAAAAATAAGTCTTTATTAATCAATAATCTGGCCTGTAATCATAATTTGTGTGGTTCACAGGTTGTTGGTGTGTTACTGCCACTAATGAGTGTTCATTTGAAGTAAAAAAACTGCAATGATTTGTTTGTATAGGTACATTTAGCAAAAATGTTGGTAAAGGCATATTTTTTTTCCAATGAGCCTCTGTGGAACAAATATGGTTTTGTAGAAAATGATCTAAAAGTAGTGATAATGGTTTTACCTATGGTTATCCACGGTAAAACTACGGTTATTATGCAAGCACTATGGTCAGTTTTCTTAAGGGGTGGGTGTATATTCTTGGATGTATATCAGGAAGCCTGTATTGTTTGTACTTCTAGGTTCTTGTTTGAAGTTTCAGGTTTATTTTGTCCTCTCTGGTCTCTGCGGAGCAACCACCCACAGAGCTTGTGTATAGCTAACTCAGAGTACATATCAAAGCCATTTTAAACTGCAGACTAGTAGCAATTGTGTGATAAAAAGTAAAGCTTGCATCTGTCTCACAGCTTGGAGATTGGTTAGAGTGGATTCTCTAGCCCAAAATCTAAGACCTCTATCCCATAAGAATATGCAGGTACAGAATGAAGTATTGTGAGCAGAATGTTATGAGGTGAGCTCTGCTGCTTAGGTTACTCCTAGAGGAGGTGGGTGTGTCTCATTGTCAAGTACTCTGGCCGTGCTCCAGTACTGTAGTATGCTCAGGTCTTCATCTTATTGTAGAGCACTGCAGAGTCCTGACATCTGCATAATGCATGAGGTGATTCATCCCAGATTTTCCAAATTTGTGGTCCTTTTTAGCCTATATTTTATTTGGAAGAAGGTGAGAAATTGAATATAATGAATGGTACAGTTGTTGAGAAACTGGGAAAAGGGTAACAAACAGTTGGTCTGACAGCAATAGGGATAAATTGAGATACTGGATTAGTCATCCAGCAAGTGGCTGGTCAATTGTTGAGTTAAACTGGATTTTTAATTTAATTTTTATCTTTAATATTTTTACCAGAATAGTGTACTTTAAATGGCACGAATTTAGAGACATAACCTTTCTGCGAGGGTTTTAGCATGCTAACAGCTTATTAAAGACAAGCACACTGAAATCATGAAGTGAAATAAGATAAAAAGAAATAAGAAGTCAACCAAATTTTGTAGCAAACTAATTTTATTATTATTATTATTATTATAT